GTACCTACTATAGTCACTCACATATAGTTTTCATTTTTGGAATTTGGTTATTTCTCTGATTTCTCATCGGAATTCCTTCTGCAAAAAGAGCTAAAATAGAAATTGACCTGAAATTTCTAGAATAATGCAAGAAGATTGGATTCATGCAATCAATCTGGAGGACTGGTCTGACATGATGACGATCGTGTGTGTTGTAGACATTTTCAATCTATTAGCAGTATTAGCTTGTATTGCAGAAGTGGCAGAAGGCAGAAGGAATTTTAATAAGGAATGACAACATTTCATAATGATAACTGTGTGAGATTACTATTTACCTGAAAAATCATATTCCCTAGTCTCTTGCTGCATTTTTTGTGCATTGTACAACAGCACAATGCAAAGGCATGCTTGAATTAATGAATAACTCAAGAAACACGATTCGTATGCCAAAATATTGTGAAAAACTATTTCAATCCTTTAATTCCACTGTAACCAAATAAAAAAGTGAGGTTGTGTTTCAATAATTCACAGAAGAATGAGGTTGTGTTTCGATATTTTGCCTCCAGGGTCGGTCAACGTGCACGCGACCTATTAAAAAAAAGGTCGCACATCTCTGTAACCTATACTTATCTATTCTTGAAAACCCCCAATTCTGTCATGATGGAAAATAGTGACAGTGAATCATCAAACACACCTCCTTCCTGATGATATAGCAGAAAGCGCAAGAGTTCGAATCTCTTACCGGAGAAATGAAGGAAGAAATATGAATTACAATATGATACATTCATAAATTGGTGCCACTCCGAGATGGTGAATATGTATTCAGAAAACGTTTTACTGGCTTCTTTTGGTAAAAAATCAAAGACTTTGAAGTCATCAACTCATTGGTCTATATATTCGATGGTACGTATACATGCTTGAATGTTAAAGATAATATCGGAATCAATAAGTATCTGAAACTTATCGCATTTCTCAAGAAACAATCTATTGGATATAAAGCGAGAAAAATCCAAAACATTCACCGCTGAAGATAATATATATATCAACAAATTTCTACAAGAAGCTCCCGATGAAGCATATCTGTTGAAAACGATGAATTTTACTTTATATTTAAACTCTTTGTTGTCATCAGAATGACAGTGTATCTTAATTTTATTGCATCAATGAGTAATGTTCAATTTGATTACAGAGTTTATCGTACTATGGCTCAGAGGTCTGAAGTTCAGGTTGCCACCTTGGTGGTCCAGTTTCAACTCTCGGTAGGCCCGACATTTTTTTTCTGGCTTGTCAGTTATTTCAATTTTTCTCTTTTTGTTTCCTTTGGACATATGGGATAATATGGATGAGAACTTTTTCAACTATTTCAATCGCTCATACTTTCAGGGTAGTTATTTCCAAAAGCTGCGTTAGTAGAAAAAATCTTGTGTGTATTTCGAGCACAAAGTGTTATTGCTGCTCTCCAAAGATTACCGCGCTCCGCTCCGCATCGCGCGGTAACTTTCTTTGTCGAGCGGCAATCTATCACTTTGCGCTCTAAATACACAAATAGCTATTGCAACTTTGTGGCTCTACCATTTCCTCATGTCACGCTCAAATCGTCAAATTATTGAAATGCACACTTTTCTGCATGTAATTAACGTACCATGTCTTAATCCATTAGTGCATAATGTGTCTAATAATGGACGCTCCTTCTCTAATTTTTTGTGACGTCAATCATGCAGGCATTGAATGTTTCATGCGCCGTAGTTCAACAACAAACAGCTATCGCTTCTATTTCATGAATTTTTATCTCGAAAATATTCTGCACGTGATCAAATGGATAACATTTTGTATTGTACCCGACAAGGAGATGAGTATTTATTATAACGCAGTATAATGAATTTCAGAATTTCATATCCCTCAAGATCTCATTATATGCCTGTGTTTATGAACCTATGAGGTGATTCGAATAATTTTTTTTGTAAGACACTCAAAATTTTGCTTTTGTGTTGTGTCCATTATAATGGACTCTATGCTTATCGGTCATCAAGATTTTTTTGCAGATCATTCTTGGAACACTTCTTATACATATGGAAAATGGCTCAGATATCGATCAACCAACGGATATGCATATATTATATTGCCTCCAGAAGAAAAGTTGGCAGAAATGCAGTTATTCGAATTTAGGAACTGCGAATCCAAAATAAATCATATTTCTAAAGGAATTATCGAACAGCCGTGCGACTTTCGTTATTCTGATCTTGATTTTGATGGGATTGAAGATAATATACATCTTTGCATTATGAAACGAAATATTATAGCATCAAATGATTGTACGTTATACTGCAGCACGTCAACTATAGACACGACTCCATTCACTCGTCCGACTCCTCTTTTTATTCAACGGGTTCACATTTCCCTCCATTGGATCGTGTGAAGAGCACCAAAAAAAGGTCTGAAAGTATCATCCCAAATAATTTCTTGATATGATGCATTTCCATATACCCATCAGCTGAATTCCATTCAGTAGAGTATACAAAATTGCAATTTTATATGTAAAATGGGACTGCATCTGAGAGATGCTTCAAAATGTATCAAGTCATCATGATGTATAATTTCCATTATTATTATTATCATTATTATTATTATTGATAATATTGTGATTGATGTTATTGAGTTTTTCATGTTCTGGATATGTACTTGAATAAAAATGAATACTGAAATTCCCTACTGATCACTTTCATCAATGAACCAATTTGCATGGAGTCCATTAAAATGGACGTGTCATATAAAACAAAAATCTGTTGTAAACAAAAAATTATTCGTCATGAGTTATCATTCTTTGGTTATATTGAATGAGTATACATCTTCAGAATAAAGAGATTAGAAAGAAAGTTACTTCATGCACTAATGGGTTTTAATCTGACTCGCGCTCGAGTATTTCTGACGATCGATATTTTTTACCAGTCTGATCGGCTGCCCTAAACTTTCAACACCATATAAAGGGCCCAGGTATGGTGGGAGCAGGGCCTACTGTATCTCACCGGGCCGTAGTCTATCCCCTCTCTCTCGACGCTGACGTCACACTAGTAGGTTGAGATTTCACATCAGTCCGTACTGGTACGTTCGTAATTAATAGGCTATAGCTCATTTACTATAAATTTTAGAAGCACACTCAATCGAGACGAAATGATCCCCAACAAATTCCTCAACTTTTGGTGAAAAAATGAATCCAATAGGATGAATCAATACCGAGTTATGGCGTTGTAACGAAATTCCATTTTATTGAAAATCAGAACGTTGTACTACAGAATACTATTTTTTGCAAATTTGGAATTGGAATAAGATGAAACTAACTCAATATATCAAACTACGATAATGAATCAATTGAATAGTGTAAAAATTGTAGAGTTACCTACAATGAGTCCGAAAGAAATCAAATATAAAGAGCGCGTAAAAAATGGGCCGTTATACCTACCTACCCTTTCGCTGTAAGTATCAAGATTTCGCGGTAATTCCTTGGTAAAGGGCGATATACCTACTTTTTATTACTCATTTTATTTCTAAATGGCGTATGGTTCAGTCCAACTAATATAGGTGTCTGAAAAATTCAAAACAATATTTCTACAATGTAAGTCACAACATAAAGTTTTGGAGAATTTAGTAGAAATTAAAATCAATTCCTTTCTCAATTATTCCGAGAATCAATGTTGCAGTTGTGTGTCTTTTGATGAAGTCAGCAGAACATTCTCTAAAACCATTCAAAATGTTCTGTTGAACAATTATTGCAAAATAAAAAAAATTAAAAAAGAAAATTCACTAAACTTTCAGGATGAGATATAGTTCAGATTTCAATTTTTAGTTTGTGATTAAGATGATGTATATATATTTTTTGTTATTAGTGTATTTCATTTTGTGATATCTATCAGTTTTTTTTATTTTGTTATGTTGATCATTTTTACAGTTTTTTTTTGTTTTGTTTTGTTTGTGTATAAGGAGTCAACGTTTTTTTATTTTCATTTTTCCCTTATTCATTCATATATCGTTTTTCTGGGTATTTTGTTATTCAGTTCATTATATTCATTTTTATATCTCTCATTGTTGAGATACATATTTTTTCATTTATTTTTCTTAGGTTGTGTTCATATGAACTCCACATATTTTGTTCTTTTTAATTTTGATAGTTTGCAAATATATCCAAATCAAATTTTTTTCATGAATTTAACGTTATCATTCAAATATATACTCTTCAGCAGAAAATAATTGATACCGAATAGGCGTTTTTGTGTAATAACACACTCGAGTGATAGGATTTCTAACGTCATCAAAGTGCGTCCTGATCATCTTTAGAGATAAACGCTGCTAAAACCCTTCGAGATAAAGTGGATGTGTATTAAACCGATTTGTAGGCAATCAAATTTCCTACAAAAAAGTCAATGACAGCATATATCCATAGGTGATAGGATTAGCATGGGAGGCGTCCGAACTTTTTGCACTATTCTGTAATGAACACCTGAATCATCGTTCTACTTGAATTGAAATATCGGTTTGTTGTTGGCCCTTGAGAATTTGAAAAAAAACTCAGTCAATCTAGATACTATGCGAAATCTTTTCATGATTGAATCATTTCTGTGAATTGAATATTGGAATTTTGGTAGCTGTTTGAAAAAGGACAATTCTGAATGGCGTCAATCAATTTTGATATGCCATATTTCTGAAATGAATGATCGTAAATTAGTGAAATTTGACTCATCTTCTGGAGAAATCTTTTCTGTAAATATTTGACCTCTTGATATTTTTTGCTAACTGTGACCGTTTTCCCGAGGTAAATCAATGAAACGGGAGAGACAATTTCCACTGCGTTGATTTTGTCCCTACTAGTGAGACGTCACGAAAGCGATGCTCCGGCCCGGTGAGATAGAGTAGGCCCTGGTGGGAGCATGATACTAAATAGTATCATGGGTGGGAGTACTTCACAAGGTCCAAGGATGCGCTCGAGTAAATACCGAAATCCCCGATTCAGTTTCCCTACCATTACTCACCTCTCATAATGTTGAAATCATCGTACATGAAAATGACCACAGATTTTGACAAGTCCAGTAAAAACTGTGGGAAGTATTTCTGGTCCTCTCTCAAACATGCTGTGGTTTTTTTGATGGGGTCTTGTGCACACTCTTCCAAATTGGCGATATAATCTTCTTTCGGATCAATGAACATTGTTTTCTTTCTAATGCACACCTTGAGTTTGTCATAACTCTCCTGGAAAATGATATCAATTGAATTCAGATTATCAGAAGAGAAATGATTATTATGAGTTATTGATGGTTATCGAAGGTGGTATCATGAAGAAGGTGAGTCGCACGAAAGAATGGAACTACCTACACTCAGTTCCAAAAACAGTGACGCACTTGACCTATCTTCTTAAAAAACAAAACAAAAATTAATAGGCCGATTTTTATTTTTTTATTTGGTGGTAGGTAATGCATTTGTCTTAAAAAAAATAAAGAGGTGAAATTTATTTATTCTTAATTTTTGACTCACCCTGTGTGTTAATTGTGTAATGGCATAGGAAGTGCTTACACCCTATATAAAAGAGGCTTCTTTTGCGAGCATTTTGTTTTTTTATTCATTGATTTATCTCTAAAATTTTTCGAATTACAGCTTTTTTGTTGATACCTTACGCTTATCCCACAAATCAAATTTATTGAAGGATCAGAGTACTCAAAATTGATTGGGTTGTACTCTGGTAGGATCACATTGTCTTAAAAAAAAAAACAAATGCCGTTGCCATAGCAACTAATTTGTTGTATGCCTCCATATTTGACCATTTGTCGTTGTGTCATTGATTATAGGTGTCTTGTTTTATTGACTAAAATTACATAAAATGCCTCGAATAAATCCTGAACAAGTAGCAAGATTAGTTGCGTTAGTAAACGATGGGCGTAGTAAACGTTACGCCGCTCGTGCAGTGGGAGTTCATGAAGCAACTGCTCGTAGAGCAATCCGCAAGTACGAACAAACAGGAAGCACCGCTCGGAGGGTCGGTTCTAGTGTTGGGGTAGTTAGGGGTTGGTGTACAATGATACTCGAATCTGGTGTAACTTCAAGTATATAATCAACTTTTCGGAATTTGATAATACTGTTCCACTTTCTTGAATCACGTCTTCTTAAATCCACACCTAACACTCTACAACTAAGTGTTTTGAAGAGGGGATGAATCCTTGATTTCCATACTCAAAGAACGTCAAATCCATGACGCGTTCCGCGTTGGACGTTATCAACCAATAATCAATGATCGTCCGATAATTATGATCCAATCAAAAAAGAATTTCCTGGAGGTGATAGTACGTTAAAAACTAAGGATACTTCGATAGATATACTTATGACTCAAAATGCACATAAATGTGAATAGGTAGATATATACAGGGTGTTTCATTGGGAAAGGTTAGTACTTCAACTGTGGATAGGGGTCACTGATGAGGTAATTTCGGAAAACCTATGGGTGTATATAATGGGTCTTCGACATCTTATTACCAAGATACGGAATCTGTCCTCAATTTCGCCCATGTCTCACAACTTTCCAACCAATCTGTATACTTTTCTGAGAATCGAAACATTCACTCAATCTATATCCTGTCGATTTGATTGAGGCATCAACAAGAGGGAGAATCCGGGTGTGGCTTCACTTGAAATTCACAAATTCTCTCTGCCCGAAAACAACACCCTATACATTTGAATTCCCCTACCCACTACGTGAAAATACAATGAATGATAATGAAAGAAAGAGAAAAGTTTTCCTGATTCACTTAATACCTACTCACTCACATAAAAACCACCACGACACTATAATAATTGTTCAAAATGACCTACATTCTGTTGGATACACATTCTTCCCCTCATAGAAATGTGGTTCACAGATTTTTTAATGACATCTGGGTTAATTTTGATTCCTCGATAAGCGTTTTCCATTTCTATTTTCTCAATAAGGTTTTCTCTACTATTTATGGAAGGAGAATAAATAAACTTCGGACTTCCTCAGATGATCCCAAATATAGTAATCCACAGGATTGAAGCACGGCGATCTTGCAGGCCAATTGATAGGACCACATCTGCCTATCCACGTATTAGGAAAATTCGTTATAAAAAAATCCCTCACAATTAATAATCCTGTAATGCGGGGGAGCACAATCATGCTGGGAATACAATCCAGCCACGTCTTCACCTGCATCGTCTAAGAAAATTCTATACCGACCACATATGCGAGTGAACACACCATCCTTTGTGAACTAAGCCTCATCGAAAATGAAAATTTAGTTTCAATCATTGTTTTCGCTAGCTTCAAAAATGAGCAAAACTAATATTCTGATCAAATGATATGAGCATTGATGATCGTCTGTGCACGAATGGAAAGTAGATCGTTAATGAGTAGAAATTTTGGTGTTTTTTCAGGTATGGAAAAACATTGAGAAATTCAAATGTAGGGTATTGTTTTCAGGCAGAAACAATTTGTCTATCATTGGAAGAAATGAAGTTCTCAAATGTCCGCTGGGATATGCTTTCAGAAACTCAAAGAACTGGATGATATCGATATCTCTGTAATATTCTGTAATTGATTTTTCACTTAGAGAATTCATTCCATTTGTATCATTCAAAATATATGGAATACAATGTTTTTATACACCTTCCTCCCATTACCAAGTTCCATGATGAGTCCATCACAAAAAATGATTTTGTGAATATCAATAATGCAACTGATGTCCTTTTTGGCGCTCCCTGTTCATCGGGGCCCTGCATGGAATTAATTCTACATCACATGGACGAAAAATATTAGTGGTGTTTCATTCAAAAAACAAAAAATCAATTCAAAATGTTCCGAATTGAAAAATAATTTTTCGAACTAATTATTCCTATAAGTCTATCAATCGGAACTAGTTGATGAGGTATTAGTTTGTTGGCTAATTTTCCTTCAAAATAAGTGAAACTGGTGGCATTTTTCCTTTGGAATTTCGAAAAAAAACATTATAATACATGGTTGAATTCAGAAAAAAAAAACAAAAGTTGGTGATGGTTCTACGAATACGAAACGTCGCATAGAAAAATCGGTATCACCACGTTAAACGTCATCAAAAGTTGCTATGAAAAAGTATTTTCAGTTTTCCTGTATCTCTAATAATAACGGAGAAAAAAAAATAGAGATTCCAAAAATTCACTTTTTTCGATATAACTGAAAAACTAAAAAAAAATTTTGAAAATTTTCGAAGGCTGTTGGTATGAGCCTCCGAATGCGCAACTTTTTCCCCATTTAACCGACTTCGTATCTCCTACCGTTTCCGAGATCTGGAGCTGAAATCTACTACTTTTTTCCCTTGTATAATGAATAACTGATAATCAAGGTCACTAGTATACTCTCTAGATGCCTCTAGTCACCCACTTAGGATACCTTTCAAAATGAAAACGCAAACACTGAGGAAGGAGGAAGTAGGTTCAGATATTTTTTACCTGTAATCTATCTCCAACCTCATCACCATAGCCGTTTGCCTTGCAGTTTGAGATTATGCTAAGTTCAGTCTGGGTTAAGAATTCTCCTCCCATTCCTCCAATGGCATGTCTCACGACTCGTTTCAAAGCTGGAAAGTAGTGAAATTTATAATAAAAATCAGTAGTGAAATATAAACGGAATATTCAATTTGTGTGTGGCTGGAAGACTAAAATGTAAAGAGAAAATTAACAATCGATTTCTACTTATATTTTGTGATCTATATATCATCCTTGAATTTTTGATCTATAACAATGGCGTTTCCAAAGTATTATACTAGATAATATCTCCACAGAGTTGTGAAAACATTGTTTCATTTCAGAATTGTATACTATACAGGGTGTAAATTTAAAAACTTTCAATGCGAATATCTCGCGAAATAAAAATGTTAGAAAAACGCCGCTTGGCAAAAATGCTAAAGAGTTAAGGGGAACTAGAACCACCATATTTCAGTGAAGGGATGAGTCACCCTGTCAGCGCAACACACCCCAACTTTGAAATGTCAAATGGCACTACCTCTTTTGTGATAACTCAAATGAACGGTCTCAGTCAGTAGTATGCACCTGTACAAGACTTTTTTTCCACCCACTACAGGGTGTACGAAAAATATAAAGTCGAATAAAATAAAATGAATTGTGTTAAAAGGATATTTTATTTGATCAGATGTTCAAAATGCATTCCATTCTCATGTAAGCAATAGTATAATCGATGTTCAAATGCCATTCTAACATTTTGGAACACATCTCGTGGAATATATCGGCATTCTGCATTTTATTTTATTCGACTCTATGTTTTCCGTTCAACCTGTAGTGGGTGGAAAATAAGTCTAGTACAGGTGAATACTACTGACTGAGACCGTTCATTCGAGGTATCACAAAAGAGGTAGTGCCATTTGACATTTCAAAGATGGAGTGTGTCGCGCCGACGGGGTGAATCATCCCTTTACTGAAGTATGGTGGTTCTAGTTCCCCCTAACTCTGTAGCATTTGTGCCAAACGGAGTTTCCTTAATTGTTTTATTTAGCGAGATATTCGCATTGAAAGTTTTCAAATTTAGACCCTCGAATTAATGTTTTTCGTACACCCTGTAGTGGGTGGAAAAAAAGTCTCGTACAGGTGAATACTACTGACTGAGACCGTTCATTTGAGGTATCACAAAAGAGGTAGTGCCATTTGACATTTCAAAGTTGGGGTGTGTTGCGCTGACAGGGTGATTCATCCCTTCACTGAAATATGGTGCATTTTTGCCAAGCGGCGTTTTTCAAACTTTTTTATTTCGCGAGATATTCGCATTGAAAGTTTTCAAATTTACACCCTGTATACTTATTTGAACTTGAAATTTATAATTGGCACTATATCATTTTCAAACTTTGAGTAACTATAACCAGATCTCGAATCAGATAGAAGCAAGCGTTACGGAGAATGACAGTCATTATTACAAATACTTATTTCGATGTAACTAATCATATTAAACATGAAAATGTGAAAATTCATACAGTTTGGACACCTATAATTGAATAATATCCGTATCTTCATAACAGAAATATACATACAGGCTGTCCCATTTTTGATGTCCTCACGGAATCTCTCTCTTATTTTTATAGAGATTTGCAGTTTTCGCAAAAATTGTCAACGAAAATTGAAAATGTTGCACTTTCTGACCCTCCCTTGTATCTCAGCTATGTTTCAACTCAGAGGAGGAGTAAAACTGTGTCTTATACCACTTTATACATTTTATAGGTAAAATCCAGTGGCGCCGTAGTCAGACTTTGGAAATAAGCTGTTATTATCAAGATATAACCCGAAGTGACGTTTTTTTAGAAGAATTACTATACAGGGTGAGTCATGACTAACCAGCCATAGCCCAATGGCGGATAGAGGAGGTCAAGGTGAGTTGATATATATATGATAACATATTTTTTGCCCATTCTTCACAGAAATACAGGGCATTATTTGAATTCGGGGCGAAACTTCAATGAACGATATTTCAGGAACGTCTCGATTTAATCGGCTGAACTTCACTAGCAACTTACCTCTAATGACACTCCACAAGATGACGTACTATGAATAAAAAATTCCAGATCCGGACTTGGAAAACTCATTTTCTCTGTAGATGTCAAAATTTGGACCTCCTGGATCGGATTTTTCGAAAACTTTTATCAGAATCAGAAAGATCAGGAAAAATACTACAAGTATGGCTTTTCAATTCGTACGGCACACTTCGATCGTTTTGGTAGAAAAATATCAAACAAAATACCGATGAATTTCTCTTCGGTTTCGTCCGAGCATATCACTCTCTACATTCGACTAAAAGTAATTGAATCAAATTTTTCCCTGGAAAGATTCAACAGCACACTTGAGAAAAGGTATAATTCAATAATAAATTCAGGACCGGACTTGATTTCGGAAAATAACAATCATTATTTCCGAAAAAGATTTGTCAGAATCCTAATATTAATCAAGATTCTCAAAATGTCCTCCTCCAATTTCTAAACATTATCTGCATCTCTTCGGGACACCTCTTATGGCTTTTCCAATAATTTGCCTATCATTTCTGAATATATCTGCAGCTGTAACTATCCTCTCCCTCAGTTCGTCTCTGGTGTTGACTTCAGTCTGATAGGCCAGTTGTTTCATATGCCCCCAAAGAAAATAGTTCAAAACTGTGAGATCAGGGGACCTTCTTCGGTATTCTCTCAATGCAGCTCTTGAATTGCCATCACAAAAACCATATACAAAAATAATATCTGCATATTCAACGTTAGTGGAATGCATTGGCATTTTGAAGATATGAAATGAAATATGAAATTATAAAATTAGTAACAGTACGTATTTGAAATTATCAACAATGAACTAGATGTCATTGGACAGTTTCAAAAACCGTCGAAAATCGAGTCAATGACTTACACTACTATATCACAGCCTTCTCTTCATGTGTATTCAGAATCGATGAACTACTAAACTCACAATTTGATTTGCTGATTGGGAGAGTTCATAAGAAATGATATCATATTCAGTATAACTTCAAATCAAAATCCCTTCATGTAGTATAAGTTGGCATGTATATCTGATTCGAAAAAAAATCTGCTACCAAAGCAACAATTGTTCTTATTGAATAGAATGTTTTCACATTATCACTAGTAGAAGTTAGATTTCAATTGAAAATTGGGAGAGGATAGTTACAGCTGCAGATATAATCTGAAATGATAGGCTAATTATTGAAGAAGCCATTAGAGATCTCCCGAAAAGATGCAGAAAATGTATAGAAATTGGAGGAGGACATTTCGAGAATCTTGATTGATATTTAGATCCAGGCAAATCTTTTCCGGAAATTATAATTGTTATTATCCAAAATCAAGTCCGGTCCTGGATTTTTTATTGAATTATACCTTTTCCCAAGTCTGCTGTTGAATCATTCCAGGAAAAAAATTGATTTAATTACTTTTGGTCGAATTTAGAGAGTGATATGCTCGGACGAAATCGAAGAAAAATTCATCGGTATTTTGTTTGATATTATTTTACCAAAACGATCGAAGTGTGCCGTACGAATTGAGAAGCCATACTTGTAGTATTTTTCCTGATCTTACTGATTCTGATGAAAGTTTCCGAAAAATCCGATCCAGGAGGTCAAAATTCTGGCATCTAAAGAGAAAATGAGTTTTCCAAGTCCGGATCTGGAATTTTTTATTCATAGTACGTCATCTTGTGGAGTGTCAGTAGAGGTGAGTTGCTAATGAATTTCAGCCGATGACATCGAGACGTTCCTGAAATATCGTTCATTGAAGTTTTGCCCCGAATTCAAATAATGCCCTGTATTTCTGTAAAGAATAGGCAAAAAATATTTTTTTACATATATATCAACTCACCTTGACCTTCTCTGTCCGCCATTAGGCTATGGCTGGTTAGTCATGACTCACCCTGTATATTTTTTCATATTCTAAACATTGATGCTTTCCGCTTTCCGAAAATGCATAAAATTTTTACGATATTTTGAGTAAGAAATTATTTAGAAAGTTTCTCATTATGGGCCTCGAAAACATATCGTGACAACATTTATCACATCAGTTATCTTGTTGCTGACACAGTGTTTCGTTACACACTAGTTTCAATTCCAAGAACATTTAACATTCACCAATATACAATGACTACGAAAACTGTGGACCTAATTAGTAGGTAGCTATTGAAAAATAAAAAAAAGTGCAAAATGTTCCATTATTCCTGTCGACCTGTTGAAGTTCAAAAATTTTTCATACAATGGCAAATGATGATCCGCAGGATATCGAAACTTTTTGTTCCTATCTCTTGGAACGCACGAATGGAAATTCCTCATTCCTATAATCCCTAATAACACACTTATGTCCCATGGATATCCTTAGGACGTCCTGTCGGGACATTCAGGACGTCCATAGGACGTTCGAATTTCATACCGTGGACGTCCATTGGACGTCTGTGGGACGCACAATTGTCCCACTTGAGGACCAACTAGGGACGTCCTTGAGGGATGTCCCTGGGACGACCATCGAATACCTAAATCCTACAGTATTCCTCATCAAGCACTTCAGAGGACATCCTTAGGACATCCATAGGACAACTTATCAAAAATGCTGGGGATATCAGTTGGATGTCCATAAGATGTCCCAGGGACGTACGAATTATTCTTGAATTCAAATTTTTCTGGGTCCTTCTAGGACCAGATCTTGCATAACTGATTAGGACATCCAGTTGAATTGATGGTCCGTAGAAGGTCCCAAAAAGTTTCCCAAGGATGTCCAATGGACTTACGTGAAGGACATTGAGGAGGAGTACTAATAGCCTACGAGCAATCATTCGTCAGCGAGGTGTAAGTTAACGTCCTCGCAGGTACGACATATTGAAAGTACCGACTTGGACGTCCATGGAGGACGTTATTTTTAGGACATTGGAAGAGTACGATTCATGTACCAATTAGGACATCCGACGGATATCCCAAAGGGACATTCGAAGGATGTCCCTGAGGGACATTTCGATTGTTATACGATCCTGGAAATATTAAGGGCGTCTGTGCAGAAATAGTTGAAGAAATGTTCCATCAGGGACATTTCATGGTTGTCTAGAAGGGACATTATATAAGATCTGAGGTCATGCCCGAATATGTACTACTCGGGACATCCGATGGATGTCCCTAAAGGAACGTTTAAAATCATATCCCATCAGGGACATGCCAAGGACGTCCTTGTATGGACATTCTACAATATGTACCACGTGGGACGACTAAGGGATGCTATTTCTAGGACATTTGAAATGATGTACGAGTTGGGACATTCCGTGGACGTCCTTGCTCGAACATTGCATGAGATGTACGGGATGGGACGTCCCAAGGACACTTATTTTTGGTTCGGGACATTCGGACGTGAATTGTACCAAATAGGGACGTCCCTAGAACATTGTGTGCTATTAGGGATGTTCGTGGAACATCGTGCGTACTTAGGGGAGATAGGGAGAGGTGCCGTTCTACGAAAATTGAGAAACTAACCTATATACGAACCATATCCCATATTTCATTTTTATATTTATTTCAAGTCGAAATATAGCTGAGATGCAGAGGGCTCTAGAAATGCAATATTTTCAATTTCTCCTTGCATCTCAAAAGCGGGTTATGAAAATTTATTTGCGGTATTGTGAGTTTCACAAAAAAGTACCGAGAACAGCAAATCGCTATCTTTAAAAATGAGTGAGATTTTCCGTATACAGGGTAACTCACGGTCGATGGTACGTTAGACGTTTATGGGGAACGGGACATAGGATCGTTCTGAAATTTTGGTTACTCACGTAGTTGCTCTTGGTCTATCGATCTAAAATATTTTCAGCTCTGCAGCGTTGCCGCTTCTATCGAAAAGTAGCAACAACTTTGTTATTTCAAATGGAACACCCTGTATTTTATTGCATTTTCAGATTCTCTCTGAAGACTCGATTCCATCGATGTAACACACTTGGGGTCTAGTGGAAATGATTACAGAGATGTAGGGTGTGAAAAATCGTAATTTTTCAACTTTAGGAATTTTTTTCGTCGAAACTATTCATTATTGGTCAAAACGGCTTACATGTCCCTATCCCAACTTTCGATTAACTATCTACTGATATTTAATTGGGACATATACCGGGTGATCAAGATTCTGAATTCTGCACGACCCTGTATTTGTTTCAATTAAATGTCAGTAGATAGTTGATCGAAAGTTGAGATAGGGACATGTGAGACGGTTTGACCAATAATGAATAGTTTCGACAAAAAAAATTCCTAAAGTTGAAAAATGTCGATTTATCACAGCCTATATCTCTGTAATCATTTCCAGTAGACAGTGTGTTACATCGATGGAATCAGGTCTTCGGAGAGAATCGGAAAATGCAATAAAATACAGGGTGTTTCATTTGAAATAACAAAGTTGTTGCTACTTTTCGATAGAAGCGGCAACGCTGCAGAGCTGAAAATATTTTAGATCGATAGACCAAGAGCAACTACGTGAGTAACCCAAATTTCAGAATGATCCTATGTCCCGTTCTCCATAAACGTCTAACCTACCATCAACCGTGAGTTACCCTGTATATAGGACGTCCAAATTGGAACAGTCTGTACATAGGCGTAGACGGACATTTTGTTCAAAAACTGATTTCAAATCTGAGTGAATTTACTTCACAAGTAATGAAATCGAACAGTATACCTACCATTACCAATAAATTTCAAATCTTCCAACTGCACTCTTGCGGATATGGTTCAACAAGATTGGAAAAGAATAAACCATTGTATATAGAGATTGAAAATACCTGCCTAACGAGGTGCAACTAGACACCTTGTACAATTTGAGGGAAATGAATGGGTTGATCCGTTGGACATGGAGGTTGACATGTGGGGAATTTTAATGTGAAGAAATTTGATTCAAAAAATTATAATCAACGTGTCCAAGGATTTTTTTATATATGGAACTACCCATATTATTCCATAGATTTCATGGTTTTCACACTGTATAATTTTTTATAGGTATACTCACCTCCTCTAACAGGAGAACTTCCTTCCTCGTATAGTTCTGCATGGCACAACCCTGCAAACAATCCATCATCAGTAACTTGTTATAATTTATAATACCGAAACCTTGGATGGTAGCGATTCTTAACTCAACTCCTATCCAAAAATCTTCATTGATAGAACGATCCAACAAAATGAAATCGAACAAAGTGATACATAATGAGACAACCATCAATAACAACAATAGTATTTTTTTCTATTCGGAAGTACTCGCAAAAGGTTGTACCTATAATTCCGTGGTGGAACTGCGAGCACTAAGGAGGGACAAATATCGATGGATCCTCCTCTTGAAGGTAGGATAGAGGGAGGCCTCTCAAGCCAGTTCAACACTATTTTTTATAGCAAGCTGAGCATATTTTTACTTTAGAACTATATTTTTTGATGTTTGTAGAAAAAATTTTGTTTGCAACTCGGTCGCGAAATACTTTGGTCATCTCGACTATTTTTAAAATCAAATCTCGATCACCAAAGTAGCATTTCGCGTTCTAAATACAAAAATAACTACACTCAGTTCCAGAAAAAGTGACTCATTTGATATTTGACCTATCTTCTTGAAAAAGAAAATAGCAGGCCGATTTTTATTCAATTTTTATTTGTCTTTACAAAATAATGAAGAGGTGAAAATTCTTTCAAAGCCTCCTTGATGGTGGTGGAATAACTCGAACCATGATTTATTCTAAATTTTTGACTCACCCTGTGTGTTAATTGAGTAATGGTATACAAAGTGCTTACACCCAATACGAAAGAGGCTTCTTTTGCGAGCATTTTGTTCATTTATACATTGATTTATCTCTAAAATTTTCCGAAAAACTGCTTTTTTTGCTGATACCTTACGCTTATCCCACAAATTAAATTTATTGAAGGATCAGAGTACTCAAAATTGATCGGGTTGTACTCTGGTAGGATCACATTGTCTTTAAAAAAACAAATGCCGTTGCCATAGCAACTAATTTGTTGTATGCCTCCATATTTGACCATTTGTCGTTGTGTTATTAATTGTCTTGTTTTATTGACTAAAATTACATAAAATGCCTCAAATAGATCCTGAACAAAAAGCAAGATTAGTTGCGTTAGTGAACGATGGGCGTAGTAAACGTTACGCCGCTCGTGCAGTGAGAGTTCATGAAGCAACTGCTCGTAGAGCAATCCGCAAGTAAGAACAAACAGGAAGCACCGCTCGGAGAGTCGGTTCTGATCCCCCGAAAAACGTCTTCAAGAGACGATCGCTTCTTGAGATTGCGGATTTTACGGAATCGATCAAATACTGCGGTAAATGTTCAGCAAGATCTTCGCCAAATTCGTGATGTTGCAGTAAGTGAGCAGACGGTATGTAGTCATCTAAAAGAAGTTAATTTAAAAGCTAGGAGACCTGCAAAAGGTCCCAAATTATTGCTCGAACATTGTGCTGCTAGTAGAAATTTTGTTGAAAATTATGGACAGTGGAATATTCCTGAATGGTCTTGTTTACGGATGAGTCAAGGTTTTGCCTTAACATGGTGGATGGAAGAAAAAGAGTGTTGAGAAGAACTGGTGAACGGTTTAATCAAAATTGTATAACAGAATGCGAAAGTATAAGTGTGTAGCTAGCTATACATACAGAGTGGCATTGAAATAAGTGCAAATATTTCAAACATTGAGAAAACTCGACGTGTACTATCGAATGGGACTAATAATTTGGGGATCAATATAAAATTTGAGGTTAGTCCCCTTTTTTCACCCAAAGTTTCAAACTGTAGCAAATCTGATCAAATTTCCATGCGGTAGGCACAATCACGCGGAATTTAATCATTCAAATTGTTAAAGTGGCGTATGTTTACTCGTATTTTCTCAAATTTTTGAGATGAAATTCCTCGTTAATTAGGAGAATTAGAAAAAATCTGATATCATTGGAATTTGCCTTAGGCTCTATCATATTAATGTTCTGAATATGTGCACTTTTCTCAAAAACATCTTGGTAATCTGATATGCGAGGGCAATCGACAAATCGTATTGTGTTTTCACTACGATGACGAATAATGTCGTTGGATCATTCACATAATTTTTGAAACACATGGTGAGCGATAAATACTTTTGACAAGATGTAATTGGAAATGTTTAATTCTTCAAATTTCTCCAGCAATATTTTCAGTTCTAGTTCATCTTTTTCGCGATACATATTACATGAAATTGAAATAACTTCATTCAAATTTCCCCCGTATTGTCCAAAAGATATTATAAATACTGACCAGCCACAGAAGTTATCGCACACAAGTTTCATCAATACACCTATGTTCTCCATCTTCGAGCATCTTTCTAACAAGGAGTCATTACTTACTATCCATTGGATTTTTCTGATATTGAAAATTCAAGCGCAGTGACAATTTGAGGCAAATCATGTAATTTGGCCTCACCACAGGTGAATCGGAATGATACTTATATTTTTATTCATCGAGACGAAGAGAAAAAATCCCAAGAATCCAAAGAAATGAAAAAATAGTCTTTGTTAATACTGAGTAATTTCACCCTACACAAGTACACACTGTATTTATGACCTAATGGGAATGAAGAACACATCGAAACTCACCAATCACAAAAAACAAAGATACAATAAACAACTTCATTTTCCAACTGTTCGATACCACTTTGAGAGTGAACAACTGTGGAGGAGTAAAATCATGTTGACCATTTAATATCTGTCTCCCCACCACTAATTAATTGACCTCTTGAGATGCATCGTTGGGGTTTCACTAACCAATCATGAATTAATTTCTTCAATCACATAATGGATCAACAATATTTTGATATAATATGTTATATATTCTCTCAAAAAACGATACGTTCGACCTAAGGTCACTTCTGTTGTGTTGATCTGCTGATTTATAATAAAGCATGATCTGTTTACATAAACAATATTATTTATTTTAATTTAATTTATGTGAAATGGGAGATTCCAGATATGCGTTATACAATGGTACTATAATTAGATTTAAAAAATTTGAACATGTCTATCAAATTCCATGTACAAATATGAAATTTCATTTGTTTTTGGATGTATGATAAATTGATATTCATCATACAGGACGTGGAAAGAAATTCTGAATTCCTTTCCACGCCCTGTATGATGAATATCAATTTATCATACATTCAAAAACAAATGCACCCAGATGACAGGAGTATGTCAACAAATCATAATTCTCAGATGTCATCTCGTTATAGTTTTAGTTATATTAAAATTATAGGGAGATGAGAATTGTGAATATCACACTTGAAGAAACTGATGGGTTAAATCAACCAAAAAGAGCATATTATGAAAATGAGCCTATCTGGTTTTATAATTAAATCAACCAGCGAACAAAAGTTGAATATGTTTAGTCACCATACGAATGGAATTGTTGTTTTGATCTAGAAAATTGATTATCAACCAGATTTTAATCTCACAACAAAATGAGTGGTGTTAACCATAATTTTTGTCCTTTGACTTATATTTTGTATAGCCATAATATTTTGTTCGCCAACAAAGTGCATAGTAGATATAGGTATACAGTGTATCCATTTAGTGCGCAATTCTTCGATATCTCGGAATCAATTATCGCAAGACAAAAACTTTGAAAAAAAAAATTCATCAGTTACTAAAGTTGCTCATTTCGAAAATATTTCCAACAATACTGGGTGATTAATAAAAACGGGGCAACTCGAAGACGAGTTTTTTCAAATGGAACACCCAGTATTGTTCATTCGAAATTCATTCCGCTTAAGTTCAGCTCTACATCGCTGTAAAAAAGATTGAATTTGGTTGCGGCGTTGCCAAGTTATAATTGATAAACCCATTTTTACTACTATTGAAGGGTCATGTTCCATTGGGTATGGTATATTTATTTATTGAAATTTCGAAAATATTTTTGGCATACAGTAGTAGCAAGGTCTCACGTATACCAATCCAGTAATCTTGCGAGATAATCCTCTACAGGGTGCTAAAATTTACATTCTGAATATTGTAAGATTCAGACGACGATCATAAGAGTTTTTCAAATGGAACACCCTGTATTTTTCATCACGAATTTATTACGACATCATTCGCTTTTTCATCGCAGAAGAAAAAATCAAAATCAGTTGCGGCGTTTTCAAGTTATGAGTAATTTCCTTACTTTTACTACTATTTCGGGGTAATTTGTACGTCATGATGGTTTCTCAATTTGATTTGAGTGTGGGAATATTGCTTGCCACTTGACATTCGAGGTTCTACATAGATCATTCAGGTATTTTTGTGATATGTGCATCGTCCAAATTTAAAATATAATGATGTTTGAAATATAATGAACAAACATGCCAAAAGCAACGCCTGTCTTTGAACTTCTACAATACAAACCATGAAGATGCGGATTGCGAAAATTAGGACAATTTTTTGAAATTTGGGCCATTTTTATTGTCGCTATTCCCACAATCCGAATCTCTATTCAACTTGAAGAAGGTCAACATAATGATGGGATTGGGAGGGAATTCAGCGAAATGTCGAATCAATCCAAGATCTATTTGATTGTGGCGATGTTTGACAGGTCATTACATAAATATCTCGAAAAAAAATCAAACTTGGAGAGCCTGTAAATGTTCCTTTTGTAAAAAATATATGGATAGTCAATGAACAAATTTGATTATACCGTAGCAACGCAATATTTCCACAATACAAATTAATGAAAGAACTATGACAAATTACCCCGAAGTAGTAGTGAAAATAAGGAAATTAACCATAACTTGATAACGCCGCAACCGATTACGATAAAAAGGCGAAAGATGTCGGAATGAATTTTTGGATAAAAATACAGCGTGTTCTATTTGAAAAACTCTGATGAATGTCATCTGAATCTTGCAAAATTCTAAATGCAAAATTGAGCACCCTGTTGAAGAACATGTCGCAAAATTACTGGATTGGTATACGTTGGACCTTGCTCCTACCGTATGCCAAAAATATTTTCAAAATTTGAATAAATGAATAAACCATGCCCAATTCAACATGACTCTTCAATAATGGTAAAAATAGATTTATCAATTATAACTTGGCAACGCCGCAACCGATTTCAATTTTTTTTACAGCGATGTGAAGGTGCAATTCGGCGGAATTAATTCCGAATGAACAATACTGATGGGTGTTCCATTTAAAAAAACTCTTCCTCGAGTTGCCCTGCTATTATAAAACACCCAGTAATGATGAAAATAATTTTGAAATGAGCAAATTTAGTAACTGAAGAAGTTTTTTCTCCAAAGTTTTTCTCTATAGGTTATGGCTTTCGAGATATCAAAGAATTACGCACTAAATGAACACACTGTATAGACTATTTTTCAGGTTCTTGTACCACTGAATCAAAACATATTTCGAATTAACATCAAGTTTATTCATTACATAGTGGTCAACTATACAAAATATCAAAAGTATGAATCTCCTCATTTGTAATTTCTCGTCTCCGTTATTTGAATGTAGGTACTCTTCCATTTCTCCTTTATGACACTCAATTGGACGTTATTCAATTGCTACCACAGTTCATCATCATCTTTCTCCAAGAAATGTGTAGAATCGAAATATGAATTTGATATTGAATTGATTGAATTCATGAATAATACTCACCATCACATAATTACGATCATCTGATGAACTTTCCCCATCATGATTATTAATTGGGAAGACTACAGCAGTGGTACTCCTTGACCAGAGATTTCAAAATTTCATCAATCTTCTTGTATGGTTCTGGTACTTGTCATACACAACCTCTCTGATAATTATCCTCTTCTTCTGTACTAAATGATCCAAACATTGAAGAGAGTCCTGAGGGAAAGAAACGGACTTTAGCAATAATATATCATACAGTGTGTGTTATATTATGATCCCAATTCAATGAACACGAGCACAAATGACGTGGACAGGGGTTACACTTGCTCTTAATTCGGCTGCCTGCCGAACACTATATGAGCCAGTCTTCACACATGTCTGTCATAGGCTCTGATCTAAGCACATTCCGCTGAGCAGTAGCGCATCTAGTTGCTAACAGTGTGTTAAATCATTACCAAATTTAGTATTGAATTACAACTCGATATTGAATACAGTGATTACATAATCGACTTACCAAAATCACTTCATTGCAGAATAGGTATAACCGAAAACGATAATATCAAAATAATATAAAGCCACAATACAAAAAACAAAATTAGACGCCTGCAACAAAATCTCATGTTGACGCTGTCGCCCTGCAAATACCAATGGGAAGATCACAAGCTCATTGTCAACCCTTCAAAGAAGGTTGGTTGGTATCAACCTACTGTTCGTTTGTCTACCGTTCTACAGTGAACGATCTGTAATAATATATTAGTTATACAACATAATATAGTTTAAATACTATGTTTAGAGTGATTTGAAATAGTTGCAGGTTGATTTAACCTTTCCTTTTGATTGATCACCAACTTTAACAGTGAGCAACCTCTAATGATATTTTAGTTACAATATAATATAGTTGGAATACTCATCTTCAGTTTGATTTGAAATACTTATATGTTGATTATAACTTCCAATTCGGTCGTCTACCAAATATAACAGTGAGCGAGCTATTATGGTTATAATGTTGTTGAAGTACTATTCCTACTTCGGTTTGACTATTTTTAACGAATTAATGGTTGTACCACAAAGATATCGTCTGATTCACTCAATATTTTTTGTTGACGTTGAATTTGTTCATGTACAATTTTTCCTCAATTGTTTAGACGATCACCTAATCATCGAATGTACAATCATTATAGTTTTATTCAAAAATCATTATAATGATGTTGTTGATTAAACACATTTTTTGTCAATTCAACCCATACTATTTCATAGATGAAAAACTAAGTTTGATATTTTCTTGGGTAATCGCCACTTTTCGGTGATTTAAGGGCACGTGGGCCCTTATAAAATATGAACCCGACCCTTGAATGATCATTTCATGAGAATTATAAAAAAAAAATTATACTTTTTATAAAAAGACTATTTTACATTAACAATCATGGAGCAGTTGCCTTTGTTTGCTCTGTTATTGTCCACGTTATTTGAATTTCAACTTTTTTCACTTCCATAACTTTGAACTATTTTATCGGCTGATGATGGGCTTATATAAGCCCGAAACATGTACCATTGATGATCGTTGATCATTTCAATAAAAGTTGTGGAGATGACTTTGGGTTTTTCATCTATGAACTACACCACTCCACTTTGAGTTACCATGGACTTCTTCCAAAGACCATACTATTTCTTTGAGTGCATAGAGAATGGCTGAAAGAATAACTGGACTTCAGGTTACTGATGAGGATTTGATATCAGAAATGAGTTGATTCGAGTGAAGTCATCAAACCTGTTCCCATATCACTGATACGAATGATTTTGTTTAGGAGTTCCAATCTCATCAAGATCAGAGTTTATACAAGTATATACTTCTCCTATATACATTTCAACTTTTATTTCAATACTGATCATGTTGGTGAAATATATTTTTTTCTGCAACCGACACAAAAGTCGTCCATTTTCATACCAAAATTTGCTCTTAAATTGACGTTTCTATTACTGACACAAAAATAGGTATGTTGCTAAGCAACATATTTAGTTCCTAGGAGCTAAAGTTGAATTTTAGTTCCTAGGAGCTGAAGTT